AATGTCTTGGTTTGTTTCAGTTCTTTTGTGGTGTTCACCTTTGTCTTCATATATATATTTAATAATATTGTAAGCTGGGTGTGGTAGTGGTGCACACCTGTAATCCCAGCACTCTGGGAGGCTGAGGCAGGAGGATCCCAATTCAAACCCAGCCTGCACAATTTAGTGAGACCCTGTCTCAAAATTAGAAAGCCGAAAAAAGGACTGGAGGCGTAGTTCAGTGCAAAGACCCCGGATTTAGTCCTCAGGACCACTATCACCACCGAAAAGAATTATTAACACGGTATGTTTAAAACTATTATTAACTTATAAAATAAATTGTACATAGGAAAGTGCCTAAAACGTATCCCATTTAGAGAATGCTGCTAAAATAAACACTCTTGTATCTTAGAAATAGAGCCTTACAAGTATCTTTACTGTGCTTCCACCTCATCCTCGGATCCTGTTTAAATGCGGATCCTGACCGGATAGCTGGGGAGGAGCCAGATTCCACATTCCCACCCTGGCTGACCCCAGGACCTGGGCTCACACCTCTCCATCACAGGCAGGGCAGCAGGGTCTAAATGGCTTCTGTGTACCTCCCCCAAATTTATCTTCTTTCTCTTCATAAGAGGTAACCGTTTTCCCGAATTTCATGTGGGTTGTTCCTTACTTTATTTAAATAGTCTTACCATCTGTGAATGGATTTCTAAGCATTATATAATTGTTTTGTTTTGCTTCCTTAATTTTTTTTTCTGAACCAAATTGAGATTTTATTTATTTATTAATTAAAAAAATTTTTTTGAGACAGGGTCTCACTATGTAGCCCCTGCTGGCCTCAAACTTGCAGCGATCCTCCTGCTTCAACCTCCCATGTGCTGGGATTACGGTGTGTGCCACCACGCCCAGCCCAAACTGGGATTTTAATCGGAATTTTTACATACTTAATTTGATGTTAGAGATTGAATTTAGGGCCTCACACGTGCTAGCAAATGTAATACTCCCCAGCCTGAATTGCAGAATTTTAGACATTACACATATCCCTCCTTATGCGTCACTTAAGAATAATTTACAAAGGTCATGGCCCTTTAGTGACATCTGTTTTCTTTGAAGAGGAGGTTGCCCGGCTTTGTGCTGGCCCCTGGGATTTCAGACAGGCAGGTGTGTTCTGGTTAGTCTCTCAGAATGGGAACAGTCTGGTGGGAGAGGTGAGAGGTCGCTTCAGCAGGGAGGGCAGTGCGCTGGGCCAGGAAATCGCTCTGTGGAGGCCTCAGGCCTGCCTGAGTCTCGGGCATACATGGGACTGAGCTGCATTTGCCTGCTGGGGAGAGCAAGGAGAAAGGGGGGACCCCACGAGCCTGGGGGTGCAGGCACAGGTGTGAGCTGGACAGTTGCAGACAGTGTTCTGACCTCAGAGCTTCGGGAAGGGCGGGGTACAAGGGATACAGGTGGAGAGAGGTCCAAGGCCAGGCTAGGGCTGGGCGGAGTTTCCATGCCTGCTCCACACGAGCCCCTAAGAACAGGCTCCCTTTTCAAACTTTTGTGCAAGTGGAATAGTGCTGTGGGCATCTGGATGTGCTCATGCGGCTCGGGCTTGTTGCAGACACATTTTCCTGCTGCATGGTTCGTTTACTTGTGCTGTTCAGTTTTTATCGTACAAACTTCCCCTGCTGTGTCCATCCATGTTTATTTTTTTAATGGTTATCGTTGATAGATGTTTAAGTTTACTTCTTTTGTTTTTTGCTGTGATAAACAGTGTCACTATAAGCATTTCTGGTGCATGTTTCATAGTGCAAACATGAACTTCTCTAGATTATATGCCTACTAATTGAACTGCTGGGTCATAGCACATATACATATTCACTTCTTTTTTGTGGTACTGAAGATTGAACCCAGGTCCTTTGCACTGAGTCGTACCACTAGCCATCCATCCTGCCATCCATCCATTTATTTATTCATACATTTTGAGACAATGCCTCTCTAAGTCGCCCAGGGTGGGTTTGAATTTGCGATCCCCCTGGTTCAGCCTCCCAGAGTGCTGGGATTACAGACATAACATTCACCTTTTTAATCTGATGTTAAATTATTGTTGAAAGTGTTCAATTTTACACGTTGCCCTTTCACAACCTTACTGATGCTCGTACTATCTGATTTTTTTTTTTTTGCCCATTTGTTGGGTATAAAAGTGTATCTTGGAATTTTCACTGTCATTTCCCTAATTACCAAGGATATTTTCCTATGTTTAGTAGCAAACCAGATCTTGCAAGTCTTTATTAGCTGTGAGAATGTGTTTGAACTGTGGACTCAACTTGTAGGAGGTTGAGAACTTCTTGAATCTTTTTTCTTAATGAGTAAAAGGAGGATGACAATATCCACCCCACAAATGGTTGCCCTGAGGGGGAAGGAGCTCTGTTATCATCAGAATGACAGTTACTCAGCGTACTCTTAGATATCACTAGGATGCTCTGCATGGTAGGAGATGGGGAGGCATTGCCAAATGATGCAGCCATCAGGGAAGGGATGACAGAAGCGGCCAGAGACAGAAGGGAGGAAGGAGAAGGCTCTATCAGCCGAGGGGGAAGAATCAAGTTCACTTCAGTAACCAAGTTCTTCTTCAGTAACTGTGACAGCTTTAGACAGATGCAGATTTCAGTGACTTAACATGGTGTCTTCAGCTGCCGGCGGATGAGACTAGGTCAGGAGGTCTAGCGCTACCCTCCTCTTCCATGTCTATGCTCTGGAGTGGGGCCTGTCTTCTCCTCGAGCTGCCCTGGTGAGACCATGTCTACCTGAAGGGGCCTGGGACAGGCCGTCCTGGCTGGGGCCACCACCTGCTGGTAGCGAGGGCTCGTTCGGAAAGGAAGCCACAGTCACATGCCCTGTTGACCCACGGTGCCAACCCCTTCCTGCTGCTGTTAGGGCAGAGTCAGATGCCGTCGCCACCGTGTGCTGCCGCCCCACTCGGGGTTGCATGGTGACTCTGTCGATGTCCAGTCTCCTCCTCCTGCTCCTGTTAATGCAGGTCACATGCAAAGTGGACTGGGACCAGGAAAGAGGGCTCAGTGTCACCTTCTCACTTCTAAGTCTTCGCCATTCTCTCTCCTCTGCTCTAAACCTCCCAGACTAAACCCCAAACTCTGGGAGGAACTGCAAAGACCCAGATACAGAGCCAGTCTGGGACGTGCGGGTCAGCACTAAAACCTGCAATCTGTTCCTCAATCGCCCAAGTCAGGACGGTGCCCCAAGAAACAAGCACGGGGATGCCCATCCATTCCTCCACCGCACAGATATTCACTGGGTGCCCGCCCAGCGGGGCACAGCAGTGCAGGGCGAGAGCCTGCAGATACCTGCCCACATCTGCAGCTGAGGCGGGTAACAGCCGAGACGCTTGCTTCCTCTCAGCCTCTGACAAGTTGAGCTCTCGATTCGTACACATCCTCACAGCAAATAGGGACTTGCAGGACCGGATTTGCTAACATCTCCTTAGGAATTAGGGAAATCACACTTAAAATCCCAAGGAACACTTTTACATCAACTGAACCAGCAAGAAATCAGATAATGCAAGTTTTAGAGAGCATGGGAACTAGCGGTGTGTAAATTAAACGAACGCCTCTGACAGATAGAGCTGCATCACAGGTACCTCTAGCGTTCACATTTTATTTCTGGTTTTCCCTTTAGGAGGGGATGTGTTTGCATGTGTGTCGTTCCCTGGGTGATACAATTCAGGGTTTAGACTTAGATAAAAATCACTCTTAGGAACCACAACTGTGTTGTGCGTTAATTTTAGAATTCAAGGTAGCTGTGGCCCTGAACATCAGCCAGCTGTCAGTTAGCTGTTCCGAGAGTTCATGTTACTGCCCGGAGCAGCACCTTGCCATCCAAGAGTGCAGTCTGACAAAATGCTGGTCAGAGGGCCCAGGAGCACTGTGCGTCTCCACTCGGGCAGACAGCCCACGTCGGTTACCTGGAAACCCTCACTTCTAACTCACTTCTCTGGTGTTCACTCCCCTCAGAGAATGCTTTCAACGAGCTGTTCAATTCACAGCGACACAGTTATGCATTTATTAACTTTCATGTCTTTTTCCTCCCTCGGGGCCCAAGGACTGCAGGTTTCCAGCCTTCTGTGCCGAAATGTTGAGGCCTAGTCTGGTTTCAGGCCAGACCCTGGCTGAAGGCCGTGAGCCCACCTCAGAAGTGCGCTATGAGGTCTTGACGGTTCCTCTTGCCGCTGCATCTAGGACGGTGTGGGTTGAACTGGAGTTATTGCCAGATAAAAGGCCCCAGAGACCGTCCCAGGGATGGCTAAGTTTCCTTGGAGGGTCACCGGATGTGTGTCAGGTTAGCACAGATGAAAACGCTTGTGGGACTAAGTTACTGGTGTTTGGGGCTTATCGGTTACCGTGCTGTAAGCGGTGTGTCTACTGTATGTTCTGTTAATCCGCACCTCACACGGCTCACACGAGTAATGTCTTCCTTATGAATTTTACTAGATCTCTTTAGAAGAATGTTCTAGTCTTGACTCCAATTGTAGGCATGTACTGAGCACGTAGTTTTATTTTTTTTTTTCTGTACGGGGTATCGAACTCAGGACCTTGAGCTTGCAAGGCAGGCACTGGAACTACTGAGCTAAATCCCGGGCCCAAAGAGAAGCTCCATTTTGCAAGTTTTGTTTATGTACTTTTTTTTTTTTTTTTTTTTTTTTGGTGCCAGGGATCCAACCCAGGACCTTACACTTTTGAGGCAGGCGATGGCACTGAGCTAAATCCCCGCCCCCGTAGTTTATAACTTAAAGGAATGTAGAGTACAGGAGGAATGGAATAAATCTTTGCTGAATGAAACACAACAAAGTGAGAAATTTTTACATTCAGCTCCTGGAAAGGCTTTTTAGAATTACTCCTTTTTAGAATAAAGTATCAGAATTAAACATATTTATTGAAAAAGTTCTGGAAAATTTTTGAGAACAATGAAAATATTTTTTTCCCATTGTGCCACCACTCTAATATAACTGTTTCTTACATTTTTGTGTGTTTTTCTGCTGCTCATTTTTATTACATTGTTTTACATTCTGGGTATCCTGGCCTGCTGTTTTTCTTGTTTTTACCTAATCTTCTTAAACATAATTACTAATGGTTGCATCAAAATCTATTTAGAGGATAAATCATTTTTTTTTTTTTTTTGGTACCAGGGATCAAACTCGGGAGGATAAATCATTTAATCCTTTTCCTCTCTGGAACATTTAGATTATTTCCAAGCTTTTGTTTTGGGGCAGGATGCTTTGATAGACTTGTTGGTTTAATAAGAGTTTCTGAATCTACAATAATTTCCTTAAAGTAGATCTGAAAAAAATACAGTAATACAGTAATCCCCAAGCCTCAGGCTATAGCTGACTCAATTCAGTAAGACTTCATATCCATTTCAGAGCATGCTTTCCAATCCAGTGTTCAAGCCTAGTTAGGTCTTTGAGTTCAGCTTCTCCATTTGCAACTCTCTATGATACATGCTTTTACCACATTACATATATATTTAAAGATACTAAAGCCAAATATATAAAAAAGGTTTTGAATCATTTCCAAAAGCACAGTATCTTATATAATGCTGTAACTGCCCAACCATATCTCCTCCACCTCTCTCTCTGGCACACACACACAGACTCACAACACCCAGCCCTTGAAAATTATGAGCCACATATATACATCTTTCTTGAAAACAGATGTCCAAGGGAAGGTCTCTCTTGATCCTGAAGTTTTAATGAGACAGCGCCACAAAATTCAGCTGCAATATGACGTATAAGGGTATGTTTCTCCCGAGCCGTTTGGTGTCCACTCCCATTTCACCAAATCAGTGGCAAAATAGCAACAGTTGTGTTGCCTCTTGTCTGATATTTCTTGATTGTTAGGGTGAGATGTCAATAAAGACTTGCTCTGTGGCTGCAGTGTAGGTGAAATATCTCTGTTTTGGTATGGAGTCTCTGATGTTGAATACACTCTCTCAATGAATTTAGGTAATTCTTTTTTTTTTTTTTGACTGTCTTGTATCTGTTGTTTGTAACATGAGATCATTCCAACCAGGCAACTAACGCTATGGCGCTGAGGGTTGGATGTGACAATGGATAATAAGATGCTTTCTAAACTGCAGTTCTCTGTACGAAGTCTGATATTTACTGTTTTCCCTTCAAAAGTAAGGCTGGTCTTGGTTACAAAAACTCATAATGTGATCTGGAAGATGCTCTTCCTCCTCCCAACACATGATTTCAGGGCTCAGGAGTGAAATACTCTGACCTGGAGCCGCCTCTGCAGGGCGCCCTGCACCTCCTTGTTGCGGAAGCTGTAGATGAAAGGGTTGAGCATTGGAATTATTATGGTGTAGAACACGGACACCACTTGGCCATTGGCCTCCCTAGTGGGGCCGTGGGGCTGGACGTAGGTGAAAACCACGGTGCCGTAGAAGATGGCGATGGCCAGGAAGTGCGAGGCGCACGTGGAGAGGGCCTTCTCCCGCCCTGCTGCAGAGCGCATGCTCCCGACGGCTGCCAGGACTGAGCTGTAGGAGGAGAGGATGACCGCAGCAGGCAGGAGAGTGACCAGGGCGGAGAAGATGTAGAGGACCACTTCCGCCATGTCTGTGTTGGCACAAGCCAGGCGCAGGAGGGGCGGGATGTCACAGAAGTAGTGGGTGACCTGGTTGGGCCCACAAAAGGGCAGCACAAAGACATTCCCAGTCTGGATAGCAGAGTTGGCGCCACCAAATACGTAGGAAGCAGCCACTAGCTGCAGACAGGTCCTCCTGCTCATGACAGGAACATAATGGAGGGGTCGGCAGATGGCCAGGAAGCGGTCATAGGCCATGGAGGCCAGCAGGAAGCTCTCGGCTGTCACATGCATCACAAAGAAGGCCAGCTGGACCACGCATCCCTGGAAAGAGATGGACTTGTCCGAGGCCAGGAAGTTGAGCAGGAGCTTGGGTGTGACCACGGAGGAGTAGCAGATGTCAAGGAAGGAGAGGACACTGAGGAAGAAGTACATGGGGCTGTGGAGCCGGGCGTCGGTGAAGATGAGCACCATCATGCCCAGGTTCCCCAGCACCGTCACTGCGTAGATGAGCAGGAAGGCCCCGAAGAGCAGCTCCCGGAGGTCCGGGTGGTTGGAGAAGCCCAGCAGGATGAACCTGGTGACGGGGGTGTGGTTGCCGCTGGCCAGGGCCAGCTCTCCAGGCGTCATCTGCAGAGGGGACAGATGGTCATCACCAGACCTACTTCCTGAGTGTGGCGCCGCTGGGCAGGTAAACTGAGGGTGACCGGCAGCATACATGAGGTCCCTTCAGCCAGAGCTAGAGGTGACGTCATGCCATGGAGGAAAGCACATGGGCGGTGGCCGCAGGGAGACCTGAGGCTTCACAGTCACCAGACACCAAGCAGTGGTGTCCCCTGGCCCAGCTCCATCTGGCGCCTTAGAGTCCTCTTCTGTGAGGAAGAGACTGTGCCTACTCTCAGTGCTCGGTGCTGCAGGTGAGGAAAAGAGTGTGAAATATTTGAATGTCTGGAACATAGCAGGTGATTGATAAATATGAGGCATCGCCTCAGATCTCTTGTGCCTCTGTATGTTTGTTTGTTTGTTTTCTTGAGACAGGGTCTCACTTTGTAGTGCAGGCTGGCCTTGAACTCACTATGTAGTCCCTGTTGGTCTCAAACTTGCAGTGACCCTCCTGCCTCAGCCTCCCAAGTGCTGCCTCACCAAGCCCGGCTTACAGCACTATTTGCTACTTACTTCATTCTGCCATTTTCTTTAAGAATTAAGCTATAACATAGACACCACAAAACTCACTTTTAATAAAGTATACAGTTCAGCGGTGGTCAGTATATTCACAAGGTTGTGCATTCGCCCTCACTATTTCATTCCAGAACATTTTCAATACTCAAAAAAGCAAACTCCGCTCATTAGTGGTCAGTTCCCCTTCTCTGCTACTCCCAGCCTCTGACCCATTAACTTATTTTCTATCTTTATAGATTTGCCAATTCTGAACCTTTCATGTAAACGAGTTCCCGGAACACACGGCCATCCACGCACAGCTTCCTCCATCCATCCCCGTGCTGGAGGGTGGCCGTCGTGCAGTGCGCATCAGGGTTCCCTCCTCTCGTGTTTCAGTACCCTGGGAACTCCCTCCTCCAGACCCCAGCCATGTGGCAGCAGGTGTACCAAGCTGGCTGAGTGTCGCCAGGACACAGTGAGCTTGGCCACGGCGCTGCAGTGTTTGTCCTTCAAGTCATTAACTACAAGGACCAGAGATGGCCGGGGGTCTGTCCTTCCTCCCATACTTTCCATTCTTTTCTGTTCCCTGTGCTTCCTCTCGGGGGGTCTAGACTACTTCCTGAAAATCAGTCCTATGAGAACCTCATCCACTGCCAGTTCGTGTCAAGCGGGTTTCTGTGGAGGACCTGTGGCGTTAGCATGCACACCACAGGCAGAGCAGCCTCACCTTTTGCTCACCTGTGTAACAGGTAAGGGGAGGGGAAGGAAGGCACTGGGCTGAGGGGATGAAGCCGCTTCCTAGTTCCAGCTCTGTTCCCCCAGACAGTTCTCCTCTCTCTGGGCCTCGATTCCTGGTCAGCTCAGCCAAAGTTTGGTATGAAGGATCTCCGAGGCCACACTTGGCCCCAGCTGTCTGGCAGGGGGCGAATCTCTCCTGAGCTTCCTGTGGGTGTGGATCTTTGTGCCTGTGTGGCTGGGAAGAGGCGTCCGTGTGACTGTGTGGAAGAAAAGACTCTGCCGGATTGCAGGGACAGTTTTGGGTGGCTCTGTCCAACCCAGAAAGATCCACTCCCAGCAAATATGCTTGAAACAGTAAGTCCTGAGAAACCTTGTTGAGATAAATGCACAGCTGGGGACGTAAGGAGTTTCATCATGGCAATGCCATTCACTTCATTGAACTCCTTGGTTATGCCAAGAATCACATACCAAGATGTCATCAAAAATATTTTTAATACCTTAACATCTACGAATTTGAAAATCTTTTGTTGAAAGATTTCCATCAGACTTCAAAGGTTTTTATAGGCAGTTATTAAAGTCATCTATCTACCTTCTCCACACCAACTTCTCCAATTGTATCTCAGTGTGGCGTCCTGGGAGACTGTACTGCCAGCGCAAGGCCTTCCAGTAAGGCCGAGGACAGGTGAGAAGCTCGGCTTCTTTCCAAAAGTGGGGGGGGTGGTGGTGAGAAAGGGGGCAGCATTCCCATCACAGATGTGACCTCCAGGGAAGGGTAGATAGACGCGCTGAGGTCCTAGAAATTGGTTCCCTTAAAATGGTTTTGCCTCTGAACCCTTGGAAGAATCATCACTTCCCCTCAGGGACACACACTTCCGGTTTGAAGAGCATGGCCTTGGGAGAAGTAGCCAGCTGCTGCAGCTGCAGGACCGTCCTCTGCCCCCTGCCTCTCCCTCCCCCAGGGCTGGGCTTGGGGTTACGTGAGTGTAGAAGTCTCCACACCCTTCAGAGGCTAACTATCATCTATATCATCTCTCTCTCTCTCTCTTTCTACCTCTCTGTTTATTGCAAAGATCCAAATATGCAGCCCTGTAAGTCAGGCTCCTGGTGGCTCACGATTCCCAAGTCAGTGTCCTGCTCCAAGTATTGCTTCTGTCTACTCTTTCCTTTCTCATCGTCTTGGGGATCCAGCTCTGTCCAAATCCACATCTCCGCACGTCTCTGATGTACCAGGAGTGCTGTCGCCCTTGTCTGCTCTGACGGGTGGCAGGCTGGGCCTGTGGGCTGCACATCACACATGGCACGAAGTCACGCACAGCACTGTGTTCAGGGTGAGGTCCTGATCCTGCTCTGTGGAAAATGGGGTTTTCGATCCTTCTCCCAAACCCTCCTCCACGGTTCCCACAGTCCAGGACTGTGTTCCCTCCTGATCCTCTACAGTTCCCATCCCAGATCCAAGTGGACATTTGAGTCCTTAGGAGGCAGACACAGGAAGAGTTTTCAGTTGAGATGGTCTTGGCCTTACAGAGTTACAAGGGCATTGATCAAAAACGATGGCTTGTGTTTAAATGCAGAAAACATATTACAGTAAAAGATAGGTTGCACGAATCCTCTTCAGAATACCCCCTCAGCACACTCATCCCTTCGATCTTTCACTTTCTGAAGTGGTTCTGGAAGTCCTGCTTTGGGTGTCTTTATGAGGTGTAATTAAAAAAACCCACCAAGAAAGCTGCTGCTGAGCACCATCCAACAGAAAAGCAGACTCATAAAAATACTGTGGTGCGTCCTCACCCACCGTATTCACCAGATCGGGCTCTGGGTGACTTCTGCCTCTTCCCCAAAGGCAAAATGACCAGGAAAGGTGAACATTTCAGATTGGTTTAGGGCATCGGGACACCCAGGATAGTGGAGCTGAAGACACTCAAGAGAGAGACTTCCAGAACTGCTTCAGAAATGGCGAGAACGAGGTGTGAGTGTGTCTGACGCGAGAGGAGGATTCTGAGGGCAATGAATGGCCATGTGCCTTTTATGGTAATATATTTTTTATTTTTGGTCTCGGGGATCAAACTCAAGGCCTTGCGCTTGTGAGGCAGGTGCAGAGCCACTGAGCTACATTCCCGGTCCACAGTAATAGATTTTTAAATGGGGACATTCATTGTATTTTGTGATCACACGTCGTACCCCAAGGCTCGGTGGTGAAGTTCCTCCAGCTTTGCTCCCTGAACCCTTCAGCCCTTCTGGTCAGACTTCCACCCAGCTGCGCTCAGGTTTCATGATCTGCAGTGACCTGCCAGTCAGCTGCTATTCGTGCAGACGCACTCAGAACTGTCTAAGAGCCTCTGCCACTGTTTTAAGACTTTCTCTCCCCCCAGTGGGTTTTTAACTTCGGTATCACACTGTCCAGTACTTTCGATGGCAGAGACTGTTTTAAGTTGCACATCAAGCAAGCAGCAAGTATTTGAACAACTACTCTTATTCAAAGGTATTTGAACAACTGCACTTGTTAAAAAGTATCTGAGCAATTAATTTTTCAACGTATTTATACAACCACTGTCCAACATGCCACAAGTTGCGATGGTGGGCACTTAACATCTTAAAAATAATTTTGAGAGACAGACTTGTTCCCATGAAGCAAGAGTGGGGTTGGGTGGGGCTCCCCCAGCAGCAGGAACCCACTGAAGAAGGGCACTGGAGGCTGGGCATGGCCTGGATGGTCCAGGACCAGGAAGCAGGAGGCTGGGCCAGGAAGATGAGGGAGGAGGAAGCTCATGGCCCTGAAGTGGGAGTTAATCTCCTTGGAAAGCATTTCCTGGGAAAGGTGCGTTGGAGAGAGTCAGGGAATGTGGGAGGGAGGGTTGCTTGATCTCTCTGAGACTTTGTTCCCTCATTTCTTTCTTTCTTTTTGTGCAGTACCGGGGTTGAGTCGGGGCCTTTGCGCTGAGCTATGGCCTCAGCCCTTGTCACTTTCTGTTTCGAGACAGTCGTCTCCCTAGGTCACTAAGTCCCAGGCTGGGCTGGAACTTGGCATTCTCCTGCCTCAGCTCCATGGAGAGGCTGGCCAATGCCTGGCTGATGCCTGGCCGATCCCCACAGGTTTTGCTTTTGGTACGGGGATCGAACTCAGGACCTTGCACTTGCGAGGCAGACGCGGTGCGCTGAGCTACATCCCGGCCCTCCCCTCAGTTTCTGTGAGGAGGAAAAGAGAAAGGGTGTCAGTGCACTTGGCACACTTCCGGGGGTGAGCAGCTCTTGATAACCACGAATTTCCATCCCACCACAAGGCACACAGTGAACACAGCCCGAATCCGGAGCTGGTGGAAATTGCTCAGGACCCCTGGATGCCACGGATCTCAGCAGAGGCTTAAGGCTGAAGAGGGGGTGAGGAGGGGTGGGTTTGGGGGGAAGAAAAGGAGAAGAAACAGACACCTCGGCTTCCTGCATCAGCTCCAATGGCCCCCAGAGTTTCTGACAGAGAAACACCAACCTTGGCAGGGGGCGGTCCCGGCCTGGCTGGGCTCCCGGGTCCTCAGGATCCTCCATGCGGCTGCTCCTGCGGCTCACGTTCCTGCCAGCGTGTGGGGGTGAGGCTCTCCTCCCTGGGCGGGCCGCACATCCAGACCTGGTGATGAGGCGCACGGCTCCGGTGAATCCCACGTGGCACCCAGGCTGACGTGATGGCCGCACCCCGGTTGCAGCCAGGCTGTATAAGCCAGCGCCACCCCGCATCCCCGGGTCACTGGGGGCCAGGGCTCTGGGGAGGTCCCTTAAGTGCACTCACCCACATCCTCTCCGGGTGCCTGAAGGCTCAGGCCTCGGGGAAGAGGTCAGTGGGAGGCATGGTGGGAAGTTGTTTGGCTCCTGGGTAGCGGGAGCCTGACCTGCACCTACTTGGATTCTGAAGTCCGGACGGAAAGGGTCGACTTAGCCCTTGGGAGCTACAGGGACCTGGGAGACGGTTTACCCAGTTTTCGGCTAAATAACCTAAGGAAGCTTCCTGCTGGGCCCCCGGGGTCTGCTGTGGGCCCCAATACTGATCAAAGAAATGGGGCCACTGGGCTCAGGGACTGGTGAGGGGCTGCATGGCCGAGGGCAGGGCCGAGGTGAGCGTCTGTCCTCATCACAAGCTTTCCTCACGTCCGTTGTCACAGGCTGTGTGTGTCCCCGCGGTGGGGAGCGTCGTCGTGTGGGGCCAGGGACACAACAGTGCAGGGATTCTGGGGCCCGAGCCTCTTAGGAAATTTGCCTGGCCTTGGCCGCTAGGGAATGATCCAGGAGGCCCTGGGGGCCTTGTTAGTGGAAGGAGTGGTTTCCTTGTGTAGCAATTTAAAAAAGTGGTATTTTCAGAAAAGAAGCTGAACTCTAAGCACAGGAAGTGCCAGTGGGCATAAGGAGAAGCCAAGGGGGACTTTACCAGCAGCTCCCAGGGACACCCCTTTCCTCCCCGACGGTGCCTGTCCGGGGTATATGTGTGTGCATGCGTGAGTGCGTGCATGCATATGTGTATGTGTGTGTGTGCACACACAGGTGTGGTTCCTCCCTGGCCCTTTCTTAGCTGACACAGCTCTCCTGAGACAGTCATGCTGGGCTCAGCTGAGGCAACCAGAGCCAGGTGGTTCCGTTCTGTGGGTCACATGTCAGAGCTGAAGGGAATCCCGGAGCCGAAGCTCAGGGGCTCCTAGCTGAGGACAGAGCGGCAGGCCTCAGAGTCCAGGCAGTCCGCTGAGGGGACAGCCAGGGACGCTCGAGGAGACAGCAAAGCAGAGACACCAACATTAAAACATAAAACATAAAAAGACACATTTGGACATTTATAAAACAAGCACCAGGACATCGAGCATTGGTTTTTGAAATTATTTAAAAAATTTTTGGGTTAAAAAAGTTTATTGGCACCATGTTTGCAGGACCATGATCGCGTTCCTCTGTGGAACTGGTCTACGCACAGAACACATCTTCATTCTTCCTTAAACCGCTTCGCCCTCCCGCCTCCCCTCCATTTCTTAGTTCTCTCTCCTTTTGAAAAAGATCTCTCTCCCTGTTTCTTATCACTCTCATTTTGCTCCATAATTTATTTATACTTTGGGTTTCTCATATCAGAGAAACCATGCGATATTTAAGCTCTGATTTATTTCACCTAACACTATAGTCTCAAGGTGCATCTATTTTCCGATGAATGACTCAGACTTAGCCTTCTTCATAGCAGAGTAGTACTCCACAGTTTATAAATAAGAAAGAGAATTGCTTTAAAATAATCTGCCTGAGAGGAGTGATGATATAAAGCAAGAATTGGCTGGAAGTTGATAATTCTTGAGGCCAGGTGATAGGTACATGGGAGTTAATTTACTGTACTGTCTGCTTTTGCATATATTTAATTTTTTTTTTTTCAGTACTGGTGAGCCAGGCAAGTACTCTACCTCTGGGCTATACTTCCAGCTCCGTATTTGCAACTTTTAATAATAAACATCGAAACATCACAGAAAAATAAAAGTCGATACAGTTTCATCAGACTTAAGTTTTTCAACTTGGTATTGGGTTTAAGAAAATTTGTAAGTGAAATGCTACATGTCATACATTTTTCAAGGTTTGATTTTGGGACAGAAAGCCTCTGGTTAAAGAGAGGTGGCTCTCCAATGCCCTGCAGCTAATTGGTTTTAGATGCAAAACTTTCATCTTTATCCTCTGGATTCTGGTCCACAAATCCTGGCACAATCTCTTCATCCTCTTAGTTGTGTTGGCCGATACTTTGAGATACACGAATGCGCAGGACTTTCTATCTCACCCTAGCAAGATGTGTTGCAATTTATTGCTTCTGTTTTGGAGAATTTTTTTAAAAAATTGAAAACAAAAAATAATATAATACTCATTCATATCTACCATTTGACTTAATAAATGTGAATATTTTGTCATATAGGTTTCAAATATATATATATACACAATTATATTTTGTCTACATTTAAAAGAAATTTTGATTAGCATATACTTGCAATACATCATAGTTACATTCATGTTGGGGGATGGGTGTGTGGATGTAGCATCGATATAAATGTTTTTAAATTAGACCAACAACACGTTCTGGGTCACTGAAATACTGTATTCTACCCCATTCCATCCTCTCCTTCCCTAGAGACAACCATTGTCATAAATTTGGTTGGAATCCTTTAGTCTGTGATAGCATAATAAAAAAAGAATTCAGAGGTGGCTCATGCAAATAAAAAGAAACACGTAACTGAGCTTATTCAACTTGTCAATGAGCAAAAGAGTAAAAAGTTAATGTGGTTCCAAAAGCTTTTGCAGTAATGGGTATTCACAGGAAAGTTAATAAAGGAAAATTAGACCGAGACTGCTGCATTTGGTAACCAGGTAGTTCTTGTCTCGTTATATGACAATAAATCTTATGCTTTAGGACTATTTTTTTTACAAGACAGAAATTATTTGCATCTCTACAAAAATCTGTAAGTTAATATGCAACTTCTTTAAATCTGAGACTGAGCAGTGACGTGAGACAAGCCAGGTATAGACCCTAGATAACCCTTGTATGGGGCTGTGAACCCCACCTCCAAATGACCCTGGAAGGACACACCGTGACCCTTTCCCCATTTTTTATAAATTTACAATCATTTTTTTAAGGAGTCTATATTCCTATATTCTTTCTACAGATCCAAATCCATAAGTACTAACACCACTGAACATTTATTTGTGACAAGCACATGCCAGGGGTTTTACATATACTAAGTACATTTAATCCTTAACACCAGTACTAATGCATTCTTACCAGTCTCACTTCACAGGTGGAAAGAACAAGGCACAAATGGGTTCAATAAATTCCCTAAGGGTATAGAGCTGGAAAGTGGCAGAATGGATTCAATTCCAGACTGTACATTTTATGCAGCAATTTGTTCTCTTGCCTTTAGTATTATAGTTTGGAGGACACTCCGGGATGCCTATATAATTATGATTCATTCATTTTAACTGTATATTTACTGTATGGGGTCCTATGCATTATGTATGCAAAAGTTGATTTTCTTGTTTCTCTGTTGGATAACATAAATTGTCTCAAGAACCCTTTAAAGTTTTAAATGAATTGACAGATAAAATTATATATGTTTACGG